TCGCAAAGCTCATGGTTTCATCAAAATGCAATTCACTTCAAACCCCTCTCTCGTGAGTACGTTAGGCTGACCGAGGCCTGTTCGAGGTGGAGTCGAGGCTTGTTCTTTGCATGCCACGCACGGGTAAGCCACTAAAGGTGTCCATTGAGACAGTTGATGATCAGCAATGGCCACCCGAGCATGCTTCAAATGGACTGTACACAGCTCAGCTGCTGTTTCTGCTCGCACTCCATCCGAAGCTAAGCGGGTCGCCATGTAGCGAATTCCTCCTCCGACGGGCGAGTCGACGCGAGTTTCTGTCCTTCTGATTCTCGTCGCGAATCCAAGAATAGAAAATATCACGGCGAAAATAATTCGGAAGTCTCGTTGGATGACGAAACCACGATGCCTATCCCGTGGCGAGCCGATCGCTCCGTCAGCTGCTCCTCGACTCCACCGCAGACCGCCCTGCGAAGAAGATGGGGGCATAGGAGAAAAACCAGTCGTGTGAAAGCGTGAAATTGCAGCAATTATATACCTGAAATTACCCCCGGCTCACAACGGCTCTAAATTTGAACTTGACAGGGGGCCGTGCTCGGAAGTTCATCCGAAGAAAGGGTTTCACTTTAGTTTCGGTCAGAGATTTATGCTACGCGGCACCGCCACCGTCCACTCTCGGGGAGTAAGTTAATTGATATATTTACCACATTAGCATCCACCGAAGCACTGCCGGGGTTCGCCGCCGTCGTTGTAGCCGTCGGTCGCTCCCGTCACTGCGCCACCGCACCCACCATTTGTTAGCGGAGGAGAACGAGATGGTACCACGTCCACGGTCATCTCTTATTCTCAGTCAGATAGGAAACTTTCACAGCTGAATAGAACGAAGTCGACATCTACTATTATCCGACTCGACCGAATTACGCCGCCAGCCGAGTGCAACAACTACAATATGCCGACGCCGCACCGCGTCGATGGAGTCCATCACCGACACTCCTGCGTGGCCAGTCAATACCGACACAGATCCACCACCACCGCTGCTACACGAGATGGTATGAGTCTTCCCGACGCGTGCGATTTATCATCAAACTCCCCTGCAAATCCCTCCACAGGTACCTACATGCATGCGATGGTCTTCAACATCAGGTTCAATCCCTGTCATTTCGGCAATCGAGCTGGGGAATAAAAGAAGGGCTGGATCAGCAGCTGAGGGCGATGAAATAACAGCTGATAAAGAGCCGAGGACAGAAACCTCTAATAATCGAATAAGGCCAAATCCGTGTACGGGACAGCAAATTCGTGCGCTCATTTTTTCCCCAAAAAAATGCGAGAGGAAAAATATCACCGAGCCGAAACGGGGAAACCAGCCATAAGATTAGGTGGGAAATCATCGCCACCGCCCCAAATTCATGAAACATGGAGTCCAAGATTCCGCGCGGGCTGACATGTCGCTCGACCGAGACCCACCCCGGGAAACGGGAGAGACGTTGTCGAGTCGGCTGGGGACCGACAAGTGGACCAGTGGAATTAGCGAGATTAACTCATCGTGGTTCAGCCGACATACGGGGACATGCACCCGGCGTCACCCGGCATGATGAATTCGCTACGTGCTAGTTAACCTTTCTACTATGGACATTTCGGTGGGGTGGGTTCTGCGCACAGGCCCGCAGGCAGCAGAGCCCTGATGAGGGAAAAAAAATTCCCTGTCTACGTCGGTTTCAGGCTCATGCAGGAGACAATGCGGCTCGCTAGATATAAATGACTACCGGGAGGACTATCCGAGCCCTTAATTGTCACGGCCTGAGCGGGGAGAAGATCCGTTCGACACGTATCGGCTCTTGTACATAAGTGAAGGCTCACTGACCAGTCCGCTCCGACAGTGAGTACTGTTGCTCTGCCTGACCACGGTAGCGCGTCGCGATTCGGGGGACGTGAGTAGACGTCGGGTATCTCGGTTTTAATCAGAGCGATGATTTGATATGCCTTCAATTATGATTCTGAAATGTACGAACGACCTCAATGCGACCCACAGGTCAATCCACTGCTTGACTGATCTCCTTGTTCCCCAACAGCTGTTCATGATCCGTCAGGGCTCACGAGGTCGAGAAGTTTCCACATGAGTGAGCTGCAAGTTCCCGAAAACTATGTGAGCTCGCAGTGCGGCACCTAATTTGTATTTGACTTTTGACTCAGTCAGATGCGAGTCGTGATGCATGCGTTCATGAGTTTCGAGCCGAGCTTTTAGGGCAACTCACTCAGAGCGGAATTCAGAGAGAACTCAAACACAAAAAAGAGGGGAGGTAGTAGTGGGGAACAAAGTGCTAGAGCGACAGAGGTTACAAAAAGTAAGCGAGGAACGAGTTCCTTTCGGCTACATCTTGCTCTTCGGAGGGGGGCTCTCACGGCCTGACATACCTACATTCGGGCCTAGGGGCAAGCTGAGCTTTGAATCCCCCTCTGATCCCCGGGCTGCTCCATTTGAAATGTAGAGGTGGGGAGGGGGCCGAAACCGGGCTCGAAAGCAACCGTATCGCTGGGATCAAATGGCTGCGCTGTCGTGAGGGAAGAAAATGTGGGAAGATAGCGGGAATTCTCCAGGACTACAACTCCACAGGACGGCGAGATATATCAAGAGACAGTTGTTGCCACGACGGAGCCGTGTGAGGAGAATTCTTCAAAATACGCCCGGGTTCTGCTCGATCCCTCAAGGTGGACTCCTGTGCAGTCTGTTTTCACAATGCGCGGTCGAGGGGTAAGATAGGTATTTCCTTTTGTGCCCGGAACACATATAAACGAAGATGACGCTCGCTCGCCCGCCCGCACGCTCGGTCGTTAGCGAACAGTGGGCACAGGCCATCGGAGGGCTTCAAACGCACGCTTCGAATGCACGGTGCGTGTCTCTTTCTGAATTGCGTGGTCTCTCATGCATACTACCTCTCGTGGAGTCCTTATTCTCCTCCTCATATACACTCCTTCCCGTTCTATAGACCCTCCCCTCGTGCTTCGGAAAGGTATCATTGCCCACCTCCGGAAGCTGGGGGTCAAATTGCATCAAAAGGAGACTGATGGGGTTGCCGGTCGTTCGGTCTGTCTGCCTGCCAAGAGGATCAGTCTGCTCGCTTTCCTGCGGACCAGCAGGAAGTAGGAAGACCTGCCTCTCAAAATTGCTTCAGAGACGACTCGGCCGAAGATAATGGACAGACTTAGGCCGAAATTCTCTCTCGCTCCTTTTCTAAGATGCACTTCCGGTCACTTTGTAGTCAAAATACACCTCAGCGTTGCTCTGGTTCCCCTTTTTGGGAAGCCTTTCGACGCACGAGTATTTTTCGATCACTTAAAAACCGAGAGTTCATCGATGAAGTGGTAGGTTCTCACTCTGTTTACCGATGGTGTCTGGGGCGGGCAGTTCCGTGCCCGTGGAGCACTTTCGATACTCCAAGCTCACTTGAATCAATGAGGACAGTCTTCGAGGAAGAACTCATCCCAATGATGTGCCCTCCTGATGATATACGTACTGAGGAACGGTGGTCTGAATCTCTAAATAGATGAAAGATGACCTTTGCGACCTTTCGCGTATTTTCGTCTCTCTGGTAGGTGTTTCCTCGAGCCGATATTGTCGGGGGTCTCGTTCCGTTCGGAGAGTTCATTCAGCTTCGCCTGAGACCTGCGCGGATCGCTTCCTCCCTCCTTTTCCAATCAGACTCCGCTTCCTGAAGGGCTTCGCCGGCCCACAGCGCGAATCTCCTTAGGCACCCTCGCTGGGAAACCTTCGAAACCTGTAGTCGAACTGCGTGTTCCAGACACCGAAGATGAATTGGATCGTCGATCGGGCAGATGAATGGAAGAATGAATACAGTTTTCTTCTGTCTGAGTGAGATGAGAAGCGATCGTCAAAGCGATCTCGTTTTCTCTGACGAAACCCCAGGGAGTCTTCATCAAGATCTCTCTTGCGAAAGGGTGGCAGCTAGTATTGGATCATCCCAATTCCGTTACTTTGTCGGCCGATATCGGAGCACGAATCCTTCCCCGCCGCAATTTTTCGTTTCCATCCGCTCAGATTGGGATCTGCAGTAGGTTCAAGGAATCACGAGGAACGCAGCGTGGCTTCCAGCATTTCCCTGATTCCTCGAGACTTCGCAAAAAAAAGAAACACGACTACGAATCAGGCAAGCGTAATCAGAAAACTCGGAGAGCAGCGCGGATCTCTTGCAAAAGCGAGTTTTGTCGAAATGATGTCTCGACTCTTTGCGGGTCTGAACAGCTTTCTTTCCGGAGTAGGTACAAATGAGATCGCGAGCCGGAGTTATTTAGGTACGAATGCTCCTTCGTTCCCCCGCTCCAATCCCTCCCTTCTGTATCGTTCTCGGTGCTCAATTCCTCGCTTCGGGAACGTCTCGAGGGAGTTCCATACGATCGGTGGCTTCGAGAGGCCCGAGAAGGTTGGGATCGCTGCGGAAAACACGAAAAATTCTTTCGTTCACTCTCTACCGCCTGTCTCGGGGCGAGACGAGTGAAAACTGTTCCACAAAATACCGCTTCCCCTTCGCTACAAATCGGAGTAGGACCATTTGTCTAAATCGAAGCGGAATGCCCCACGCTCAGTCCGTTCTGCTTAAGGAAATATTCACGTGTGCAATAGCGAGACGGTCGACCTCGACGTAACGTGGGGCAGGAATCTTCGCGGTGCTCTTCTATATTCCCACACGCTTGCTTCGTCCTTCCGTGAAATCACGTATATTCTGAGGTCTACTCGTCGCGGTCGCCCAATCGAATCTTCAGCATCATTTGCTTCTGTTTGGAGGAACGACTGCGTTTGATTCTCGAAAGAATTCCTCCGATCGCACAAATCGATTCCGTAAAAACAGACCGCTTGGTGTCATCCTCCATGCTCATGAATATAAGAAGGCGGCATAGGTATTTTTCTCGCAGGAAGTGACTTTATTCGAGCGCGACAACGAAGGTTCTCCCTCGGCGAGTCTCGTGATTCGTGATTTCGAGTAGTCTTCATTTTCCGGACATCAATCATGGCAAGTGTTAGAGCCAAGGAAGTTAAATCCGAGGGTGATCGACTAGCGGAAGAGCTTGAGAGCCTTACGCTGGAGGACGATGAGGGCATTCAACAAACGAAGGATGGCGTGTCGATGAAAAACATGCATTTCACAAACGGAGACTGGTTTCCGAAAGAAAAGCCGAAGCCCGCGAAAATTCCTGAGGGAGCAGGTAAGTATTCTCGTTGAGATGCTACCGTTTGACTGTGAGAGCATAGATCCTCGGGATTACTCTCAGCCTTTTGAATCAGATCTCAGATCCTGTATCATTCCACCTTTGAGCCTATGAATTTCAGCAGATGTGGCTTCGGGAGCCGATGGCGAAGTCCAAGGGAAGGGCGCTCCGGACGGATGCGGAGTCGATTTCGGAAGCGACACCGAAGAAAGCCAGAAAGAGGACGAAGAGGATGCCGATGAGGATGATCTCCTCAAGTACAAGGACGAGGAGACCGGGGAAGTACCTCAGTCTTTCTTCGACGTTCTTTGCAGGGAATGCAGCAAGATCCCGTACACTCCCGAGGAAAACCAGGTTCGAAACATCGGTCGCTTTTTTCTTGGAGTTCGTTCTTCCTTCAGCACGGTCATTGATATCCCTTCGCAGGAGCGACGAAATAAAGGTCATAAGGAACGCAACCAGATGCTGCTCGACGGCATAAAAACGAATCACCGCGAGTGGTTCTATCAAATCGAGGAGAAATTAGCCCTCGAGATGATGAATCAGAAGAGGAAGGCTCTCAAGAAGGCACGGAAAGAGGAACAGACACTCAACGCTGCCTAGCCGATCGCTCAAACGTGTGTCGATCCCTCGCAGCGGGTGCATCGGCAACAGGATCGAACTCGTTTAGGAAATTGAGAATTCCGCGATGGAGGACGAGTTGAAACGGATCAAACGCTTCCCGATGGGGAAACCTTAATTTGAAATAAACCGCTTACCGAATTTCGACGACTTGATGTAGTCTACGTGATCCCAACAGTCCCGAGAGGTGTCCGTGTACCGCAGCTCGACTCTCCGCTCAGATTTTTTATCTCCCCACCGATATTCCCGAATCGTGTGACGCAGCCAGCTCAGTTCGCCTTTAAATGGTCTATAAATAGATCGGCGTCCCGTGGTGCGGTCGTCTGGTATGGATTTTCTCTCGTGAATCCCTCGCGCCCGTTCCGCGCCCGCCCCACGACCCCCTTGCTGAGTCTCCGAGGAAGGAAAATTATCAAATGCAAATAGTGAATTCTCGGTTTCCCTTCCAGCGGATCCTGTCTGAATCCATCGTATTTCACTAACGGAGCTTCCCCCATCGAGGCCTATACGAGTTCCCCCAAATTATTTCCTCACTCCGTAGTGAGCTGTGAGCTCAACGGGTGCGACCTGCTATAGGTGTATAGATAGATAAATATGGGCTCGGCGAACGTTCGTGACGTAATGAAGTTTGTTTGTATCCGAGAAGGATTCGGAAATGAAGCCGAACGCGCGAGTGTTCATGACAGACTATGCGTGTACGACTGAGCGATCTACCTTGCTCCCCGGAGAGCGAGGTAGATGCGACCAGCAGCGGCTCAAGCCTCCGGCATAAGGAAAGTATGAGTAATCAACAGATGTGCAGTTCTCATTGCCTCACCGCGACCACGACACAAGAACGGGTTCTGAAATCCTCGGACGATTTTCACCGTGAAGGGTTGGACCAGCGGACCATGAAAATGTGTTGCCGTGGCGCGGACCATCATGATATGAATGCATCACCAAGGTACATATATCCTCTGCTGCGGGAGATTCGAAAAAATTGCGCCACGGTGTTCCCGCATTCCGAGCGTTATTCCTGGAGCTGAGAGTTCATCTGTTTTCGTAGTTTCCTCGATAACCAATGTGTCCGCACGTAGTTCCCGTTCTATGAGCTCGGTGCTCGGCTGTGTTCCGTCTTCATTCCCTCTCTCTGAAGCCGTCAGATGTTCACGAGCCGCTTGCTTGCCACTCAGAGTCAGAGTGGCTTTTTGTGTAGGGTGGCGAAGGACTGACTGCAGTGAATGCTCTCAGTTTAGTCGGTCGCTCGGTCTGTCTGTCTTTCGACCCTCCGTCCGCCCGTTGGTTGGAGGCTTGCTTCGGCCCGCTACCCACTCTTCTTGCTTTCCCGAATGTTTTCCCAAAGTCCCCTCTCTCCAAGCGACCGAAGCTCTCGAGCACTCGAGGTCGTTTAATACCCCGGAACGCATGCACGGCACGCCACGGCGACGTTCTATCCGGCACGCTTTGAGGTTTTAAGCCTCCTCGGCTCACTCACATACACAGGGGGAAGAGTGAATTTGCCAAAAATAAATATTTGAGCACATCAGGAATACGTGAACGCGCCGCGCGGTTCCGAGAGCAAACAAATGATCCCAGGCTGCCGGAAAGTCACTCTTTCGGAAGTGCATGAAAATCGGAATCGAATACAGGGAGAGAGCAAGAGAGCGGGAGAGATTAAATCGCCGGTTTCCAAGCGGATTCCTCGCCGATTCAGGAGATAAGAGAAACATTTTTTTCTTACTGCCGCCGGAAATCGTTCCGACCTCGAGCGTGTCTCCTCTCGGACGGGATTGAACCGTGAGCCCGACACTGTGTCTCGCGCGAGAATACCCTATTCCTCCGAGCAGGATCAGAGCGTGAGGTTGGAGACCTCTCGTTCTTCCCTCCTTCATCGATGAACAAGAGAATATCGCCGGCTAACGGAGCGTGAATAGATTGAAAGACGTCCGGCGCCGCCAGCGCTGTTCCTCCTTCGGAACTACCCGCATCGAGAACGATCGAGTCAACTAAAATGATCTCTTTGACGGAACGATGTGTTTCATCCTGCCTAAACTACTAGATCTCGAGCTTCCCCCGGGAGCTCCTCCGGACTTCGTGAGAAAACTTGAATTTCGATCCTCCGTCGTCGAGGTTCGGAGCTCCGAGAATATACCTCGGGCAGGCTGATCACGCCGACTCTCTAGAGTCCAGAGTGAGGGAAAGAGACCCCGTCGAGCCCGAACACCGAATGAGGTAGTCTCCAAGACGTCTCGATGTCATCCCGAACTTCGTGGCAATCTCAACCCCCTCTCGATGTCGGATCTGACTTACATGAGGTGTTCGAAGGTCACGTCGGGATCTTTTCGATTACGATCCGGAAAGTCTTCCAGCTGCCGCTGGATTCCCGGAGACGAAAGCCGAAGGTAACGCTGCGCTTCGGTTCCCGAGATCGGTGATGAAGGATTTCTAGAAGCCTCCTCGGAGGTTTACGGAACGAGCGCAAACTTCCGAATACCTACGTGCATCTATGTAATCTAGAGGTCGGTGCCTTTCCCATCCCCTCCACGCTCGAAATGATCGAAGGCGGCATATCGGGAGCGTTTCCGACTGACTGGTGGTGAGTGAGAGCGGTACCGTTCCTCATCTGCTCGAAAGGGAGATGTTCCGAGCTCACCTACAAAGGAAACGAGACGGAAATCCATCGGAACTGCGGGACTAGTCTCCGAGGTGTCGTGGATTTGGCGACCGGGCTACACAAGCCCGAACACACACACAGGAACGTACGACCGACGGACCTGGGTTTGACGAGCGGAAGGTCCCTGTTTCCTTCTTGTTCGTCCGTACCTTACCCTACTCCTCCTTCGCTCTTTTTTTCTCAGCTGTCAAACCAATCTACAACCGCTCCGGTATTAGAGCCGAGACTCCTCCGTCGCAGTTCCAAGCTCGTCGCTTCGCGCTACGCATTGGAAAACTCTACAAGGGCGTCTGAAACTTGTCGGAATCTTCATCATTTGTTAATTAGAACAGATAGCTCGTCGAGGAAACGCGTTAGAGTCCCGCCGAGTGGGACCCACATCCTGGCGGAGGAATCGAAAAAAGGAGAGGAGTGAGATGGAACTAACAGATGAGAATTAAGGAGGGAAGTGGAAAGAAACGAGGGAGCCTTACGCCTGGCTCCTCCGGATGAATTCAAGTAGGAATGCATAAATGAACGTACGCGTGAAGAACGAACGAATGAATGGAATAATTAATGAGTAGATGATGAATGAAGGCGGATTTGGCTCCGTGGGAGATTCACCATCTGACAGCGCTGGAGGCGCTCATTGTTTGTTGTCGGCCCGTTAAGCGTCCCTGCACTGGGATCCATGCACTCCCCGCCTTCTGGCAACGACTCGCAGGATAGACGCCATAAGAGGGAGAGTTTTATGCCCCTCTATCCAGGAAGAGAAAACATTTCCGAGAGAGAGTGGATCCATCCGTACGAGGATGTGATTCGCTCTGGGAGATTCTAGATTCGATCTTCGGAGGGGATCCATGCGCTTCGGGATCGGAAATGCAAATATGCAAATGCCCGAAATGCTTTCTTCCATCGCATCTTCCCCTCGTTTGAGAAATTTCGAGCCCATCGTCAAGTTCCAATGCCTCTCGCGAGTAGGTCCTTCGTCCTTCCCCTCTCCCGAAGATTGGTGTTCCCCGTCGGGGAATTTCCCCGTGGCGATACATCCACGTAGAGTCGATGATCGCAGCGCCGATGCTCAAATATTCCCCGAGTATAACTCTCGCTGCGTTAGCGGTGGATGATTCCGTCATCGAGGGAATTTCGAGTCAACTAGGCGCCGGTTGCAAGTTGAAGCAATTGTGACATCAGAACTCCCGTGGGAGCGTGGTAGGTTGCGGGCAGGATTCAACATCATTTGTTTACCGAATATTTCAGGCTCCGAATGGGATAGGCCCCGACCTATCATCGTTGTAGCCAGGGGCGACTATGATATCCACAATATAGGTATGCACTCCACCTCCTCCTCTATATCTCACTGGCGGCCGAGAACGACGATGTTATTTTTCGAACAGCTTGACGCGACGCAGAGGACTACGCGCTGGGCTCATTCGAAACCCATCATTAATTCTCAGAGGTCATCTGCACGACCCTGTCCCCGAATCGAAGTCGTGTTCCCCGGTCATGTTGTCCCCCGAGCTTCGAGCTTGAGTACATCAAGTAATTGCAGCTACAAGTAATCCGTGTCGAAGTCGGCGTATCTAACCTAATCAACTCTAATTCACAGTCTAACACATCGGCTTTGTACTCTTGCTCGCCTTCTTTCCTGTTCGTAGTAGTCGTCGGCAGCGGCGTCGAACACAGACTGATACGCTCTGGTGATCCGAGCGAAGAGAATGACTCCCACACATACACAGTCGATACCGACTCTCCCGCACGCTCCCAGCCATATTCACGCGTTCCGCGACTCTTTGTATGTGTCGATACATGTATTAAACATGAACCCGAGCCGGAGAAGTAGAAAGCGATCGCACGAGGACCTGGGCTATCGTCGCGATTTTTTTTTTTTCCGTAGTATAATTCGAATCTCGATACCGACTCTAGACGTACGACTCCCAAATGTGCGCGTTTCGGAACGCGATCCGAACCGCATCCGTCGAAGGATGACGAGCCGACGGACTCGCCGGCTGTCCGCTCATTTATCCGCGCGTATCATGGTCGGATTCGCTCGTCCAGAAAGCGGGGAGAGATGTTAGTCGGAATGGAACATGGATCAGAGATAAAGCCAGGGAAAATGAAAGATAGCGTAGTCCCATGTGGAAGCGAACTCGCATACGAAGAGTTTTGCGGTCAGCATTGGAGGCCACCAACAATATGGAGCCAGTCGGCGAGCGACCAAGCAAAATTAGCAAACAATGATTCCTTTTGAGTCCAGCTCGACCGAGAATAGCTAGAGAGAGAGACGCGAAGAGATCGGGAACTGGCCGCCATGTGGACGACATCGGATCGGCTGACGAATGAGTGACCG